TTTCCCTGTCTCTAACCTTCTCATTTGGGGCGGGAAATGTGGGAGTTCCCAGGGTGCCCTGCAAGTCTCCCACTTGAGCATCTTATCTTTTAGTCTTATTTTTATGACAGCAGGGGGAGAACAAATTAGGCAGGACTTCAGAGCACTCAAGTTTACCTTGTTTTGTCCTACTTCTACACAAATGATCAAGGCCAGCAGTTTGGAAAATGGCCCACCTGGGAGAAAAAATCCTGAAATATTCTAAGTCCTATATTCCCTAATGGCAATGGCACCCGGCAACTCCTGGTGACCTGTTCTTAGTTCTTTATGAGCAAGTAGGCAGGCAAAGCCAGCTTAGTGAGTACAACCTCTGTTCTCCTGTGCAACTCTTTCTCTGTCCATTCATTCATTCACCCCAAAAATAGTTGTTGACTGTCCACTTAACTTGGAGTAATGATGAGGAATAAGACAAGCATGGTCTCTGGCCCCAAGGAATCTACATTCTATTTGGACATAGCTGGGGAGAAAAAAAGAGTAAACAAAATATTGGGTGGTCAGAAAAGTCATGACACATTTTTCTGTGTTCTTCTATGCAAAAATGCATCATGACTTTTCTGACAACCCAATAATTAGGGACTATATGTTTTATGAGGGCATTTCAGAATAGGAGGGCATTTCAGAAAGTTTGCAGAAAAGTGAAATTAAAGAATGAGTTTATTTTGGTGCAACGGTTTTGAAATCTGTGCATAGTCCTTTCATCATATGTGTTTTCTATGAACTTTCTGAACCTCCTCTCATACATAAGGTATTGTGATGCAGAACAAAAGTTGGTTGAGGTGGTCAGAAATAATTTGCTGATAAGAAAATCAAGCAGAGACTTACATAATGACAGGTAGTCGAGAGAATCATGCTCCACGCTGATAGACGAGCAAGTCTAAAGACTTTGAAGCTGAGAACACATTATTTTGCACAATGCTCCGAATTCAGCCCATGGGGCTAAAACATGCTGAGAGAGGAGGAGAGGCCGGGAGTGGGGAGGATAGACTGAGGCCAGAGCATGCAGACCTGTAGGCCCAGAGTTAGAACTTGGTTCCAAACATAACATATATGTCAACTCAGTTTTGCATACAACCAAATTCATTCTGTCAACCACTGGAAATAAAATGTAGAGCAAGTACTACCTGTCAGAAGTCTCTGTATAATGATCTCTCATTACTGCAAAGTGTTAGGTGGGGAGATAGGAGCCTTCCAGTCCAGTCAGCATTTGATTTAGTTATCCCTTCATTGTCTTTGCTTTTATATATGTTCTTTGTTTCTGACAGAG